ATTTATTTAGGCATAGTGAGTATTACTCTGTGGTTGGAATGTAGCATATTTTAAGGGATGACATGAGATAAAGCTAGAAGGGTAGTATATTAGTTTACTATTGCTGCTTTAATAAATTACCACAAACTAGTGTCTTAAAACAACACAAATTTATTATCTTACGGTTCTAGGGGTCAGAAGTCCAAAACGGGTCTCACTGGACTAAAATTAAGATGTTGGCAGGGCTGTGTTCTTTTCTAGAGGCTCTAAGAGAGAATCCATTTTCTTGCCTTTTTCAGTTTCTAGAGGCTGCCTGCATTCCTCGGCTCATGCTCCCTTCCGTCTTCAAAACCAGCAATGGCCAGTTGAGTGTTTTTTCTATCGTGTCACTCTAACACACTGACTCTATTGCCTGTGAGCTGTTCTTCTTTTAAGGACCCTTGTGATTATACTGGGCCACCCAGATAATCGAGGATAATTTCTCTATTTTAAAGTCAGCTGATTAGCAACCTTAATTCTATTTGCTACCTTAATTCTCCTTTGCCATATAACATATTCACAGGTTAAGGGAATTAGGACATGGACATCTTTGAGAGGCCGTTATTCTGTCTACCACCGGACAGTTGGGGCCAGATTATAAGAGCTTTAAATATAGCCGTTGAATATTTTTGATCAAGGGAATGATATGGTCAAAGCAGTGTTTTGGGAAGTTAAATCTATAGTCTGTATGACATCTTCTCCCTCCCTCCCTCCCTCTTTCCCTCCCTCCCTCCTAGAACGGCTTATATCCATAAATCCTTAATCAGAGAGAATTAGTTGTCCTGAACATTGATACACCCACTGTTTCTGATTTTGTTCACTGTAAGGCTATTTCGTCATGTTATGGAAGGAATACTAGACTAGCAGTCAGGAGACCTGAGTTATGATTCCAACTTTGTCAGTAATTTGACTTGTAACCTTAGGGATATCCTTTAGTCTTTCTGTGATGCAAGTCTCCATCTTTGTAATTGGGATAATAGAAACTGCCCATCTGACAGAGATATAAAGATAACCTTATTCCAAAATAATGTAGCATATTTTTATTTTTTGTCTGTAGAGAGTAACTGGCTTATAACTTTAGAACTTTTTGCTTTTCCTTTTTTTTCTAGAAGAACCAAGGATCAAACAAAAAATAACATAAAATTAGAAGCTCAGTGATACGTGCCTAGCTGACCTTCTACTCTCTCCACCCTTTTTTCCCTCTACAAATAGGAATCAGGGCAATTATGTCATAGCAAGTCAGGTAATATTTTATAATAGACTTGTTTTCAAGACCAGACTATTAGGCTGTAAGAGTCTTAAAACCCTCACTTTGAGGAAGGTAATTTTAATTTAGTTGAATGGTTTTGTGGTAGCTGGTTATGCATATGAAGGAACACTCAGATTTCACTTATGCTTTATAAATAGCAAGACAGACCACTGGTAAAAATCCTAAAATGTTTGTGATTCATAACTCAAAGTTATTTGCTCTGAGTTATTTACAGACTTTCCCTTGGTCTATAATAGAGGATGGGGGCCGGCCTGGTGGCGTAGCGGTTAAGTGTGCGCGCTTCACTTTGGTGGCCCAGGGTTCACATGTTCGGATCCCAGGCACGCACTGATGCACTGCTTGTCAAGCCACGCTGTGGCGGCGTCCCGTATAAAGTAGAGGAAGATTGGCACAATGTTAGCCCAGGGCCAGTCTTCCTTAGCAAAAAAGAGGAGGATTGGCATTGGTTGTTAGCTCAGGGCTAATCTTCCTCACACAAAAAATAAATAAGTAAAATATAATAGATCAGGAGGAATCAAATTCGAAACCTCTCCCCCTGTATTGTTGCCTTATTAAACATTTCTTACCCATAAAAAAGAAAAATATATATGTGGGTCTTACAATATGAAGGTTTCACGTTGATGATATAGCAAGTATTGCCTCAGTACATGTGAGTCTTACAGTAAACATTTCAGTTGTCTGCAATAGAAATATGATGCAAGCTACAAATGTGAGCCATGTGTATCAAGTTCTCTAGTGGCCACATTAAAAAACGTAAAAAGAAACAGGTGAAATTAATAATATATTTTCCATCTAATATATCTAAAATATCATTTCAACGTGTAATCAATATAAGAAATTATTAATGAGATATTTTACAATTTTTTTGTATTAAGTCTTTGAAACCCAATGTGTACTTTATACATAAAACACATCTCAAGTCGGAGTAGCCACATTTCAAGTACTCAGTAGCCACTTGTGGCTGGCAACTACTGTGTTGGACAGTGCAGGTCTGCTGCAAAGGTATCTACATAATCAATGCATCAAATCTTTTAGTCTGCCATGTCTAATCTCTCAATGACAGTGGTCCTGCCCCCCTCCCCCTTCCTTTACAGTGTTGCTCTGGTCCTCACTTCATACCATATTGTCCTCTCTTAGACATTTCTCCCTTCTATGCTGCATTTTCCTGTCTCCTTTACTCTGCCAAGGCCCCCTTGCATGTTTTTTGAGATTCGCAGGAGAGAAAGCGCTATTAACAGTATCCCATCTACCCCTGTACGTCCATTAAAAAACGTATTACCAGTAGAAATGTAAGCTAATCCCAACAATATCGGTACCATGGGGAAATGAAGTGAAGTTCTTCCTCCTCTTAGGAATCCCGGAAGTTAGGAATCCCTGAGAATAGTGGAGTCTTGAGTGTTAACAGGAAAAACTAGTTAGTAACTTGTAGGTTTTATATCTATTGTTCCATGAAATGTAGAATGAGAATTATATGTTTGGCTATTATTAACACTTTGCATTTAATCAGTCTCAGAAGCCAAAATGCTTAATAGTTACCCCACAAATGGAATATAAGTATACAAGTTCAATTTTGCTGAGCAGCTTAGAGCAAAGGACCATAATCATATTTTCTTGCCAGATCATCCTGCCTCTCTTTTCCTTCCTCTTTATAATTGGTTCTTAGGATTTATATTTCCAAGGTATTTTGTAGTCGTGTATTGTTTACCTCTCACAATGCATATTTTGGCCCCAATTTATAAACGCATGGACATGCAGTGATTTGTTTTGTTTGGTTTTTGCAAAGTAAAAGTCAATGCCAGAAATCCAAAAAGGAAATGAAGAAAACAATTCCATTTACAGTAGCATAAAAAAATATTTAGGAATAAACGTAACAAAAGAACTATAAAACTTGTACTCTGAAAAGCTACAAAACATTGCTGGAAGAAATTATAGAAGACCTAAATAATGGAAAGACATCCCATGTTCATCTCTTCTTAATATTGTTAAGATACTTACCAAATTGATTTACATGTTCGATGCAATCCCAGCTACCCCCCCCTTTTTTTGCAGAAATTGACAAGCTGATCCTCATATTCATATGGAAATGTAAGGGATCCAGAATAGCCAAAATGATTTTGAAAAAGAATATAGGAAGACTCAAACCTCCTGATTTCAAAACCTATTATAAAACTACAGTAATCACGACGCTGTGGCACTGGCATAAGGATGGACTTCAAGTGATTGCAGGCTCCCCTTGTTTCTGGGGCTCTGAGTTATTCTAAACTGATACACCAGCCCACTTTAGGGTTTTGTCCACTTGTGCAGTGGCCACTTCTTCCCGTGGTCTGCCAAAGACAAAGCAGTTTGTGTTGTGCTTCTCTTTGGAAGGACTTGTCATTCTGTGGATTTCAGTTTCCTTGGTTGTCTTGTATACTCAGCTGTCTGGTGAGCTCAGGAAAAGATATGATTTTGTGGATCAGCTGGTCTTTTTTCATTGTTACAGTAGGAGGAATATTCTCATCCTGCTTTCTAAGCAGAGTGGAAATAACATGGTGCTTGGCCTATAATAGATTTAGCAGTCAGTTAAAATTTGTTTAAAATGGTTGAATTCCTTGAATACTTAGGTGCCAGGCAGTATGCTAAGCACTTACTGCATCATATCATTTAATTTAATCCACATTACTTATCTATAAGTGTAGGTGCTGTTACTATTCCCATTTTTTTAGATGTAAAACTGAAGCTTAGTGGAGAAAAGGAACTTGAGACACAGCAATAAATAAACATTTTTGTTGATTTTACCCATATCACTTTCCCCAATCCCTCCTTCCTGAGTAAAATTCTTGAATCCATTTTTCACTTTTCCAAGGAAAGGAGATAGATTCTTGGCATTGTAAGTTTTCATTTCCTCACTTGATGGGAAAAGAGGCACAGTATAAAAGAGGGAAAGCTTGAAGGGATCTAGGTGAACTTTTGATTAACAGAGAGAAGACACTTTTGGGTCTGAGGGCTTTGGGGGGGTCAATGCTAGCATCTAGGTTTTATAACAGGTGAGAATAACAAAATGGCTGTGATGGCTTTGCTGCTGCTTTCCATTTTTCCCTTACTCTGCTCTTGCTTCCAATGTGATATAGTTAATAGCCTTCAGTTTTTTCATAGGATAGTCGAATTTTAAGTTTTTTTCATTACCATTAATTCCTTTACTAACCTGCTATGTGGGAATGTCTTAACAAATTGCTTTGAATACGCTACATTCAACAAAAGGTGGACTAAGAAAGTGTTTTCATTTCTAAAAATTTTGCTTTGTTTTTGTTCACTTTCAGAAAAGAAACTATGAGATGAGCCTGATCAATAAGCTCAAATAAAACAAATGTTGTTAATTCATCTCTTCAGCTATTTTCTGAAATTTGTTTTCTGAAATGTGCGATTTGTAAATCACCACATTAATCATTTTACATTTTCTCACACAGTGGTTGATAGATGCAAGTTAAGTTTTACGCATTGCCTGTCTTTGCTGGAATTCCAGCATCTTTTCGAGTATTCCACGTGTTTAATATAAACTGGGTGATAGACCCCTGGTCATTATTGTATTCATAAACAGCATTAATACAGAGACAATGCTCAAGGTTAAGGAATAGGAACATGGAGACAAGGAGGAGGATTGTTTATCTATGGTAGGATATTTTATAATGCCCTGGCTTGATGTAACAGTTGTTACATGCCTCTTCCTCCCTAGTTATCAGGGAATATGAAGAATAGAGAAAGCATCCAGGAATCTAGATTTGATTATTACAACCATGAAGTTCCTGATATTGACCTCAGTGATTGTGAATTCCCACATGTCATTGAAATTTATGACTTTCCCCAAGAATTTCGTACTGAAGACCTCCTACGGGTTTTCTGCAGTTATCAGTAAGTATTTGCAAATGGTTGGGAATGTTAGGGAAGATGGGATGAAGTTTTCTCAAAATGTCTTCTGAAAAATCATTTTTTGTTTTCATATTCTCTGTTATTTACTTTAGCATCGTTTGTTTATTGCCTTTTTCAAGTGCATTAGAAATCTTATGTATCAAACCACTCTTTTTCTTCTAAGTTCCTTAAAAATGCCAAATAGTCTTTTGAGACCCATTTTAGCATTTAAGAAGAACATCATCAATGATGACTTCCAAATCTGTCTTCATGGTGCATTTAGTCTATTTATATTTATTGTAATTATTGATATATTTAGATGTATGCCTACCATCTTTTTTGTGTGTGTTTACTTGTCCCATCTTTTTCTCTTCTTTCTTGCCTTCTTTTGGATTGATGAGGTATTTTTTTCTCATTCCGTTTTGTGGGGAAATGAAACTCTGTTTCTATTCTTTGGTGGTTACTTTAGAAATTACAAAGTGCATGCTTAACTTATCAATGGCTAAAGTTAATATTTTTATACTCTTTCCAAACATTATAAGGGCTTTTAACTCCATTCCCCAATACCATTCCCCACCTCTTACCCACCCCCAACTAGTATGCTATTGTCATGGAGTATTTTGATTCTTTTTAATTTTTTCTTTTTCCTTTTTAAACTCCATTTGAAGTTATTGTTTTATAAAATCAGCATTCAGATTTATCCACTTACTGTGTTCTTCATTTATATCTTCTTGCATCTCATATCTTCCATCTGAAATCTTTTTCCTCCTACAGGAAACATTCATTAGCATTTAATTTAGTAACAGTCTGCAGGTAACACACTCACTTGGGGTTTTTTTGTTGTTTTTTAATGGCTTTACTTCAACTTCATTCTTGAAAGACATTTTTGCTGGGTATAGAATTCTAGGTTGGCGATTACTTTTCTCTCAAGAACTTGATTATTCTACTGTCTGATCGCTTTCTCTGTGGAGGATGAGAAGCCAGCTGAAAGTCTAACAGTTGTCGCTTCTGAATGTAATCTGTCTTTTCTCTTTGGATGCTCTTTAATGTTTTCTCTTTGTCTTTAGTATTGTACATTTTCAGTATGATGTGGTTTTGTGTTTCTTTTTATTTATTCATCTTGAGATTATTTGGGCTTCTTAAATCAGTGAATTAGTGTTTTTCATTGGCTTTGGAGAACACTCAGACGTTATCTCTTCAAATATGGCCTCTATGCCAGTCTCTCTCTCTCTTTTACTTTCTCTAAGATGCCAATTAAATGTATATTAGACCTTCTCACTTAAGCCTCATGTTACCTATCTTTCATATTTTCCATCTCTTTGTCTCTGTTACATTCTGAATAATTTCTTTAGCTCTAGTTTATCCAGCTCACTAATTTTTTCTTCAGCTGTGTTAAATTTGCTGTTAAGTTTGTCCATTGAATTTTTAAATTTCGTTTTGTGTTTTTTTATTTTTCAAAGTTCTCTATTTTTTTTTTCCAAATCTGCATGGTCAATTTTTTAGTTTCTTATTTTCTCCAAATATTTTCAAGATTTTAAAATTTTCTTCAAGTATATTAAACATAGACCTTCTATAGTCTTCTCTGAAGTCCTTTTAGTTCTGTTTCTGCAAATTCTCTCTTATAGTGCCTTGCTTTTTTGGAGATTTAGTTATTTTTTTTCCTGTGAGCTGACCATTTTCCTTAGAATTTATTTATGGAATTGAGGCCTATAATAAAAGAAGAGGATTTCTCCTGAGAGGATATGAGTTTTCTTCTGCCAAGCACCAAAGGCCCCCAACAGTCCAGGAGCACTGTATATTAAATTATTGATTTGAGGTTATTCTGACCACTGGAGAAATAGTTGAGTGGAGAATGATAAAAAAATGATTGTTATATGTCTCAACTAGTTTATTTTAACAACATGTATAAATGTCAGTTCACTTGCCGGTCTTTGATGTGGTGCCAAAGCCTTCTTTTTTTAAGTTGTTGGTCTATTGATGGAAGAGTTCTTGTACATCACCCTCACAATATATCACCTATGACTTTCAGTTTCATTTCTTTAAAGTGGAGCAAGAACTTGTACCTTCAGAGTCATCTGAGTGCATATTCCTTATAGGTTAAAATGTTTTCTCTGTCTTTTGTAGCTATTTTGCCCAAACATAAATTGATAATAGTTTTGTGTGTTTTTTTTTAGTGGCTTCACCTTACTCCAGTCTTCCAAACCATTCAATTAAGTTTTTATAGACACAGCAACTGTTCTTTTTCACCCTCATATTTCATTTTTTAAATTTTATTTAATTAAGTCATGTAGTCAAAATATAATAAAACTGATATAAGTGGGTTTGAGAACAATTGCACTAACTCTTCTTATGTATATAGTTCATACATATATGTAGGAGAAGGTAAAAGAGTCAGAAGTATACCTCTGTATCTTTAGGTTATAAGAAAAAATAAGCTTCAGGAATAAAGAAATAATCCAGAAAAAAAGTTACTAAGAAAAAGATTTTCAGGATCCGAATTAGTCAATACCAAGAAAGATTATACTTTAATGCTCCAATCCTGATATTAAAAATGAACCAGGTCTGTTGTCTGATATTATAGATTTAAATTTAAAATTCAATTGATATACATCTTGATTTGTAAGATTCTGTATCAGTTAGGTTATAGCCCCCAACTTTTTCTTAAAGGACCAGATAGTAAATATTTTAGGCAACTCTGCCATTGTTGCACAAAAGCAGCCGTAGACAGTATGTAAAGAAAGGAGCATAGCTGTATTCAATGAAACTTTATGTACAAAAACAAGCATGCTGTTACTCTATGAAGTTCTAGAACAGGCAAAACTAGCTAGCAGCCATGTACTTCACTTAAATTTGGTTGGTGGGGAGTATCAGTTCTATAACTAAAAGAAAGAAGGGGTGACTGGATCCTGAAGGACAGTTCTCTGCCATAGACCTTACTCTAAATATATAGTGTAGGTTAGTTAGTCTAAATCATTACAGTTATGTTAAGACCCAGTATCAGGGCCTGTTCCATATAAAACACATAATAGATTTAAAAAAGCAGTCAATGTGATTAAATCCCAAATTAGAACTACCTTAGATTATTATTAATAATGATTATTTTTCAATTCTTATGAATTATTAACTTCCCTTTGCTTTGTTTCTTCCTAATCTTACCTGCAAGACCATTTTTCTATCAAACCCTAAAATATTCCCAAAAGAGAAGCATTTTAAAGGATTATGAAATTCCAAAGTCTAAAAGGCCCTCTAGAACCCATCTAGGTCTTTTTCTATCCTTTTTGCAAGCTGTCTAATAATACAGACTTCTACTATTGAACTTCTTCACAGTCTCCAACTCCTGTGGTCATTTTATGCCATGGTCAAACTTACCCTTGCATTCAGGAAATTCTCTAACTAACCTTCAAAGCCTCCTTGATTCCTTTTTCCCTCAAAGGAATTTTTTTCCTTCACTGGTTGTTAGAGAGTGAAGATATTTTAGCAGTTGTCTTTTTTTCTTCTTTATAGTGCTTTATAAAAATAAAGAAAACGGCAGGGTGCAGAAGCTTATAATAACACCTGTGAGTTAAATACCAGAGTCAACTTTATGTTTTAATCAGTGTCTTCATCAATATTTATAATCTTCCTGATGAATATTGCTGTTAATAATAAAAAATAATGAGCACCATTCGTTTATTAAATGCTCACTAAGCGCTCAACACCGTGCTCTCTGCCTTGTCATGGATGATCTCATTTCCATTTTTCACAGCAACTCTTTAGGAAGGTACTATGCCCATTTCTACAGATGAGCAGACTTAGCTTCAAGAGAGGTTAAACCTGCCCAAGGTCACGAGGTGGCAGAACCTAAGTCCATTTATATCTGACCCTCAAACGTGTGCTCTTTCCACAGAACTGTATTGAGTCCGTGAGCAGTTTTAAGCTCCTAGCTGAAAAAATAACTATCATTGTCATCATCCTGATAGTCCTTGTGCTCACTGTATAGCTATCCTCCAAAATAAAGGTGTTTTTTTTAAGTACTTAGTGGTCATTCTTTTGATTCTTTCTAATCTGGTCTGCTATTTCTCTTGATTTCTTTTATCCTGAATTTTTCTGATTTTGCCACAATTCTTTCTTATTTTCCCTTTCTTACTTCCCTTCTACAACAAGAAAGAAAGACTAGGTCAGCCTCTTTGATTATACTTGTGCTTTTTCTCCATTACTTGATTTTTTTTTTTTTTTTTTTTTGCTTTGAATGACTCTCCCGCTCCCTCTCTGTATCTGTCTCTGTCCTTGAGCCTACATTTGCATTAAATCCAGGTGACCTTCCCTGCCTGCCTCGTCCTCTAATATTCTTTTACCCCTCCTCTGCTTCCTCTTTCCACCTCTTCTTGTTCCATGCTCATAAGAACACCTCTTGTAAATAGTGCGTTAAATACTTTACCTCCCCAAGGGACTTGTGAGGATTAATTAGTTAATGTCTATAAAATGGCTGGGAATGTAAAATACTCCCAGGTAGTTCTTTATGATGGTATTATTTGCTTTTAAAATTCAATGGCTGCTTCTGTCCTCCAAGCTGTTTCTTGTGTCATTATCCCCATTCCACCTGTGTACTCGTCGAGTGTTTCTATCTCATTGTGAAATGCTTTATGAGACTATTTGAAAGATGTTTCATACAAGTAAATTTTGTTTTAAGAAGTAAAATTGTGTTCTTTTGTTGCAGAAAGAAAGGATTTGATATTAAATGGGTGGATGATACACATGCCCTAGGAGTATTCTCCAGTCCGATTACAGGTATTCACCCAATGGATTTCAGGGTTCTTTTCTTATTGTCCATTTTCTGCTGCTACTTGTTCTTATTTCCCTTCTATTCCAGCCAACTGGCATTTTATTCAGCCAGTATAGGTAATTGACAGATACAGGTTTTTGAGGCATAGTACTTTGGTACCCATGTGCTCCCCTTCTCCCTTTTCACCTTCATCCAGTGGTATTTGGAGAGAGAGTCACCTCCTTCCAGGGTTATTTGCTGCATAACTGTCCGTTGTGATAGTGCATAAACAGATTATAGGTAGAGATTTAAGAAGCCAGTGTGACTAAATCTTACAATATTTGTGATTTCCACCCCCCAGACAAATGAATTTGAACTAGCCCTTTAACCTATCCAGTGAGAGATAGTAATACCTACTTTCAGAATATATGATACGGCCTTTTCAAATGTATCATTGGCCTCATGATAGATCTGATGCAGAGGCTTTCAAAGAAATTAGAGATGTTGGTTTCCATTTGAACCACCTAGAATACGGGTCTGTAAACTTACTCCGTAAAGGGCTAGATAGTAAATATGTTAGGGCATAAGGTCTCTGTCACTACTTAACTCTGCTGTTGTAGCAAGAAAGCATCCATAGACCATGTGCAAACGAATGGGTATGGCTCCGTTTCAGTAAAACTTGACAGAAACAGATAGTTGGCTGGATTTGGTCACAGAGCCATAGTTTGCTGGTCCCTGATCTAAAATAATCACTGCCAAGTTGTTCCTTATGGATTTTCTAGAACTTACCAATTTCTTTTCCTTGCCATGAAAAAAATCATAACATCTAGGAAATACTTTCTAAGAACTAGCCTTAAATTTTCCTTTGCATCAGTCTTCTTCATGTCTTTTACTTCCTTATATTTATTCCTCTTTGCAGCTCGTGATGCTCTGGGTAGTAAACATGCCATGGTGAAGATCCGGCCCTTGTCACAGGCCACAAGAGCAGCTAAGGCCAAAGCTAGAGCTTATGCCGGTGAGCCTGTAATCTCGGGGGCTTTTTGTTGTTGATAGTGATATTATTGTTTTTTCTAGCACTTACACAGCATCTGGAGTCCTAAAGACATATCACTTTTATTTTTAGTGTTAAAGGAAGTATATTGTTAAGGGAAAAAAGAAAAGAGAAAGGCTATATCGGAAATAATGGCATCTGAGCAGCCACTTGGAGAGAGTGGGAGGTACTAGGCAAGCAATGCAGCAACCTTTGCCTGATGACATCCTTATCTAGTTTACCTTTGTGTTTAGCTGTTTGAGAGAGTCACAGAAATTGTGTTAATATAGATAATGAAGCCAGGTCTGTTTGTGCTTGGCTATGTTAATTTCCTCTAATCATCATCTATCAAGCTTGTATTAATTACTGCTGATGCAGCCCTTGTTAGTCTATTTTGTATGTTAATTACTGAGTTAAATCACTTGGAGCTAGAGTGCTTTCTCTTCCTTACTCCCTCCTACTCCCTCCGTTTCTCCCATTCAGAGTTCCTGCAGCCAGCAAAGGAGCGTCCTGAGACTTCAGCAGCCTTAGCCAGACGGTTGGTTATCAGTGCCCTTGGGGTTCGAAGTAAGCAGAGCAAAACTGAAAGGGAAGCAGAGCTCAAGAAACTGCAAGAAGCCAGAGGTGAGTTGAAGTGACGATGTTCTTCTTTAGCCCGTTTAGAGCTCACTGAGGCATGTGTCAAAAAAAAAATGAATGAAGGCCGTTCCATTTTGTCATTTCCATTTCCTAGAAGCCTCCCAAGTGCATTGAAATGGTTTTTCTGCGTTATGTTTAGGAAGAAGACATTTCAGGATTTGTCTCTCTTTTCCACCCACCAAGGCATCCTGATCCATGCTCCTACTGTTGTTTTCCAGGAGATAGCTTCGGTCTTCTCAGCTCATCCCTGGCTTTTTCTATAGTTCTTGCTCCAAACTCAGAAAACTTTTCCTCTGAAAACATAATGGTCTCCCAGGCAGAAAACATTATTTGCTGTGGTTTTCCTGGGCCGTGATTGCCATGATGTTATCAAATGGTTTAGATCTTGGGTAGAAGACAAATTAAGGAAAAGCCAGCAACTGACATTTGATGATGATAACCGTAGGAGGTATTTTTTTTCTTTAAAGACAGTTCTGAGTGGCTTCATTAGAGTACGTCTAGATTAACCTATCTTCTGATTATTTTCCACTACCTGAGAGTTCTCAGAAAATATTTCTAATGATCCACAAGCAGGGTTTTTCTTTCCCTATAGTTAGGAGTTGAGGTTAAAATCTCTCTCTCCCCTTTATAGGCTGTTGACTTTATGTAAAGGCTTGGGACTCTGGCTTTGCTCTTAAGTACTTTTATTAACCTTCAGGCTTTAGACAGTCTCATTGCCTTAGCCCACGATCTGTGGAATCTGTGAAGGCAATTTATTCTGAAAATTCCACTTACTGAAAAGTAACTTCATTTTTCCATTAAACGAATTGAAGTTTCAAACTCCTTGTTTATTGCCGGTCTAACAAGGCCATTAATACTTCCTGTCCACTCTGCTTTGGTGATAGCAGGCAGCTTGCAGGCTTTCAGCTGCACTGGCCAGATAACCAGTGACAGAGTGTGTCATGGCAGGTGCTAGAGTTTCAGGGTTGAACCCAACTAATTTTTGAAACCTTAATGATTATAATGAGGCAGTTTTGATTTTTCCAATGCATTGTTCACTTAAAGGCCTCCTACAGACTATAGAAACAGGGGAAGATTCATCTGGTTTTTATAGATGGCAGTAACAGAACTAGATTAAAGGAGAATGTGCAGTGTCCTTAACTCTTTATTAATTGGTTGTCTATGTGAAAAATGATTTCTCTGTGATAACCACAATTATCTCAGAAGATCAACAGAGGTAATAACAGTGGTATCTGTGAAAGGACATATGACACTTTTTGCAGTGTATCATGCTTTCCTGTGAGTCTAATATCACCTGTATCTCTACAGGTACTGCAGCAGTGGTTTTGCATGGATATCATCTGAGTTTTCCCATCTATTTCTCTGTAGGCACATCAGCATGCATCTCCACTTGAAGTATTTGTTTTAAATGCCCAGCTATACAGAGGACTTTCAGTGATGCAATTAAAAATGAAACTGTTGGCTAAGTGGGTACCCTGCTACTTCCTTTTGTAAAGAAGGGCTTTATTTTAAGCGAATAAAGACCCACTGTGATAAGTTCGTCCTATCCATTGGTGCTGAGGCTGTATGGATTATAGAGGGCTCTTGCTTTATTATACTTCAGAACTTTCCCGTTCTTAATATCTGAGAAAACGCATATGGAAAATTCCTGATATATTTCTTTCTGGCTTCTTTATGCATTGAGCAAATACTCTTGTATCTGTCTGCGTGGACCCCAAGACTTCTCAGTTAAAGATTTTTTTTCTGTGGAAATTAAAATTACTGTTTAGGTATTAAACGGAACAGATATTTTTGTTCCAAATCTTTTTCCACTGGAGGGGGAGGGGTCAGCACAGCATATGGATGACATTATAGACTCTGGAATCAGACTGCCTGGGTCTACATCTAAGCTCTACCATTTACTGGCTGTGCGACCTTGGATGAATTACTTAGTCTCTGGAGGCCTCTGTTTACTCATCCATAAAATGGAAATCAAGTGAGATAATCCACGAAAGATACTTAGTCAACTTCAAAAACCATATGAACACTCTCTCTCTTGTTCCTGTAGGCCTATAATAAGTATGTGATAAATGCTAGCTGCTGCTGTTTATTAGTAATAGTGGAATTATCACTATATGGTGAGTCCAGCACAGATTCCAGTGCCTATTTTTTGTCATTACTCTTTATTTTAAATTTTCTGTAATACTGTGTCAACTGCATTTGGCATTCACTGAGCACCTGCCTGTGTAAAGCATTGTGCTCCCTATTTAGGAGAATTAGAGAGATGGCAAGATTTTCTTCCTCTCCTTGAGACTTACAATCTAGTGGAGTTATCTGCCTTGAGTAAGGAAGAAAATATGAACCTAGTATTTTAAGCAGTTGTTTCTCCTCTCACTTCAGTTCTGAAGATTTTTAATATTAAAAGCCGTGAAAAGCTTTTTGTGATTAAAAGGATTGGAAGGAAACTCCAGGCAATGCAACATGTTATAACTTTGTGATGTATGGTTATTATTTCCAGTTTAGAGCTGGCCCAGAGAAGTTAAGTAGCTGGCCTGAGGTCACCCAGCCGGTAAATTGAGAGAGGAGGCATTTGAACATAGGCCTCTCTAATTAAAACCCATGCTCCTTCTACAGTGCTCTAATCCCTCTTGAAGGACTTTTGGGGTAATTAACATTTTTTCCCAGGAAAAAAATATAAAACTTTTTTTAACATCTTCAGAGAATGAAATATGACAGGCTTCTTTTTAGTTATCTTTTCCCATGGTTAGCAGGCATTCACTGTCAGAACATTCGTCCTTAGGTCTAACTTAAATTTGTACGGTAGTTTAAACCAGTTTCCTCCTCTTTTTTCCTTAGTAGAAAGAGGGAACATCTGGATACCATTCTGTTCTAACAACCTTTAACTATAAAGATCAAGGGCAGATCATTCAGGAATGAGGGAATCTGCGCTGTAATAGAGTTTTTGCCGTTAACTAGCTGGTGTGGCCGTGGGCAAGTCTCTTAAACCCCTCTGTGCCCCAGTTTCCAACGAAGTAAAAATAATGCTTGACTTACCTAATCATTGAGCATTTTTTGAGTACAACATAAGTTAACGTGTAAAAATGTTTAGAAAGGTGCTTTACAAAATCAGAATACTATTATTTATGTGACTCTTGGGAAATTAGTGTTCATTATAATAATATGAGCCAGTAATGACAAATATGTACTATGTACTGCTGCTCCCTATCCATTATCCATGACAGACAGTGCTAATTAGTCGTGACTTTCCTTCTTGGTGAATTTTGACTTGACCATTGCCAACTGATCAGAATTAGCATGGGAACTGAAATCTATGTGCCATCCTGCTATAGGTACTTTTATTAATCACAAATCTCCTAACTTTCTTTTTCCTTCTTGAAGAGCTCTGCTGTCTGGCACAGTGACTAGTTCATAAAAAGATACTCAGTATATGTGTTCATTGACTGAATGCATGAATGACATTGGTTATCTTAATTTTTCTTCATAAATCTAATTTCCTTCATGATTCTACTCTGAACCCTGTCTGGTCCTCCATATTTTTCTTTATAAAACCCAGAGTTGGCCACTGCATATAAAACCCTTCTAATTGATGAATTTGGTATTTGTGATTTTTGAGGTTTAAATACTTTCCTGCTAAGTTCCTCTACCCTACTTTGGTCTCTACCCTTTTAGTGAGAAGTCTGTGTCTTAGTCCTTAAAAAGAAGATTCAGAAAGTAAAGCCACTCTGGGAAGAATTGAAAAAGGAAGTACCCAAATCATTTTAAGCAAATCCTGTTGTATATCTCTGGGGGATAAGAGCTTTAGTTCGTAAGTCCCCATAAAAACATGGGGAAAGTATCTTTTAGTCCAGCAGAGTGCATAACATCTCAGAACTACACCAAGAGTGGGAAATGAAAGCATATTTCTCCTTGAGTGCTTTCTTTTGACTTAATCACGTTTTGTTTTGTTTTTGGTGAGGAAGATCAGCCCTGAGCTAACATCTGCTGCCATTCCTCCTCTTTTTTGCTGAGGAGGATTGGCCCTGGGCTAACATCCATGCCCATCTTCCTCTACTTTATATGGGACGCCGCCACAGCATGGCTTGACAAGTGGTGCGTCCGTGTGCGCCCGGGATCCGAACCTGCAAACCCCGGGCTGCTGCAGCGGAGTGCGCACACTTAACCACTGTGCCAGCAGGCTGGCCCCTAATCGCGTGTTTTAACCTAGTGATTCACACTAAATGATAAAATCACACTTTTAAAGACCAAACTCAGGAATACGTGTGAAATTTCCCCACGTTCCACTTATCAAAACACTTGTTTCCCACCTAATATTGGAGATAAATATCATTACTTCTCAGAATAAGCTACTGTCTCATTTTCAAAGCCGGCTATAATTTTATTTCATAACTTATTTCCATTTTACTCTTGGGGTAGGTGATTAATTGGCTGCTTCTAAAAGGCCATCTTTTGGGTCACAAGCCTGAAAGGTAGAGTGAGTAAACAATAATTTGATCCCCTAGTTTGATTAATTAAATCACTAAGAGCTTGAAAGTAAAATCATCTCTATAGGATACCTAGTCAACTGTAATAAAAAATTTAATCACAATTGCTACCTTCTGAAATTCTTTTTAGGCATTCCATTATTCTGCCTTCAAGGGCAGTGCTGCATTGCTGACTCATAATCTAGGTCATGTGGCATTTTCTTGGTGTCTTTTTTTAGCCTGATGTGAAGTTCCCTTCATTTCTAAGCACATTTCCTTTCATTTTAATGTGATCTTTTTCTCTGAGATGCAGTATTTACCCATATTTTTGGTGTCACCTGCTGTTTAATAAACTTATGTCCTTGGCTTAGATCAGAGATGAAAATGTTGCCCCTAGGACTAACTGACCAGTTCACCAACTATTGCTAAATAAATAGCCCGTAGTTCTTTGTGTTGACCCAAATACATTGATAATCATTCCACTCTCCAATTATATGCCTCCTTAACACTTATGTGATCCAGACTATATTTTTCCAGTATATTAATGATGACATAAATACTCAGTAAGTCTAAATTCTAAACCTTTTCTAAAATTGAGAGGTTACTTATATTAATTCTCTTTGATCTACCAGGTCTGTCAATCCATAAAAGAAGGCAATTAGATTAGTTTGACCAGACTCGTACTTTAAGTCTTCACGTTGCTTGTTACTCTGCAGATGGCTGCGAGTGGATTTTGTGATGATTTTTCCCATTATTTTCTTAGGTGCAGAAGTAAGTTTTGAAAGTTTTAATTTACATCCTTTTTCTTTATTTTTTTTTAAACATGACACCAAACTGGTCCTTTTTTAATCTTCAACACTTTCCATTCCCTCAGTGAGAAGTGATGAGTTCAATCAACTCATTTAACATAATCATTTCTGCCAATTGATTTATTATACTAGGAAATGAAAGTCCTCAGGGCCAGCTTAGCTGAGTGCTTTAGGTTAATCATTTCGTACTGATTCTTCTGTTCTCCCTTCGTTCCTTGCCCTTATGGCTGCTGCTGGGCTTTCTCTTTACTTAGTTTACTTTTTTAATTGTTGGAGGTAAAGTTAATAGGAGCTTTTTCATGCAGTCTATCAGCTATTATCTGCTTTCCTTTCTTTTTAATAAAGGGACAACATGTTTCTTTATCTTTCTGTCAATACATTTTTTTCATGTTTTTTCCTTTTCTTTGTAGATATTTTCAGATGTCAGGATAGTGGAAAGTATGCTGGCTTAAGAATTAAGAGCTTCAGTTTTTCACTGATGATGTAACCTTCGGCAAGTCACTTAACCCCTCCACGCTTCCATTTTGTCTTTAAAATGAAGAAATATTTTTAAGTCTCATACTAACTTATATTTCTCTATTTTATTCATGTTCTGTATTTCTAAATTTATGCCTCACATTTTCACTATTTCTTTGTGCTTCTTGATTTGTCTCTCTACTCTTACTAGTTTTCTCATATGGTTTACCACCAGAATTTCCTCTTATTTACATATATTTGGTAATAAAGATCTACAGTCTATTATTAGAAAGCATTAGAGTAGGAAATGTTTCAGAATTCTGAACTTTTCCAGTTTTGGAAAGGTCATATGGTTATCTTAATATGTTTCGTAACACCAAAATCAAACCCATTAATGTTAATAATTCTGCAGCAGAAAATATGGCACTATAGATAACCATATAAAAAAAAAGACTGTGAATAGCCTTGTATCTTTTCAGGTTAGGTTTAACACCAAATGAGTTTTGGCCTCAAACTTTTAAAAAAACAAAACTTTGTTTTCAGAAGTGCTTGGATTTTGGAATTGTGCATTATGGGCCAGTCACTATATTTTTCTATTGCTTCTTGATTTCTTTTCTTTTTTTTTTTTTAAAGATTTTATTTATTTATTTTTTTTCCCCCCAAAGCCCCAGTAGACAGTTGTGTGTCATAGCTGCACATCCTTCTAGCTGCTGCATGTGGGACGCGGCCCCAGCATGGCCAGAGAAGCAGCGCGTCAGTGCGAGCCCGGGATCCGAACCCGGGTCGCCAGCAGCGGAGCGCGCTCACTCAACCACCAAGCCACGGGGCCGGCCCTGATTTCTTTTCTTATAACTTCCTATTTGCCTTTCTGATTTAAGTATCTGAGCTTGTTGAAGAGTTTGAGTTCTAATAATTCACTTTTCTGGTTTCTTCACTTTTTCTTGTAATCCAGAACCAGTTTTTGATTGCTTTCGTCCAAGGTTGCTTTTGCCTTTAGATCCCCTCCTAACTTTCCCCTGTTTGTAAGAATCAGAACCACAGTGCCTTCTTAAGAAATCCTGGAATCCTTGAGACAGGTCAGTTATCCTTGGTGCTCTCTGCCCAACCCAGTTCAAGGTTGCCTTAAAGCTGAGTCACAGGACACTGAATTAACTAGCTGGCCTTCAGTTTGGAATTTGTTGACCCCCATTTTTTGCCTCTTATAACTTTGCTGCTATATTCAGATAATGCCACAAGATGGTGCCCAAATAGCAGTGAATTTCTCTTTTTCACATTTCCAAGTGCCAGTCAGCTTCCTGACCAAGTTCTTGGCCCTTAAAGTACAGTCAAATATAATATAGGAATTTTGTAAGGGATTCTGCTGATTTGGAAAGATATGTCAAAATAGCAAATGTTAACTCTAAACTCACCTTGATTTCTGTAATCCGCCTGGTTTATGACTTGCAAAATCTTTTACAGACATTATCTGAAATAATAGCCCTTGGAAGGAAACACTTAGGCTTGTCATCTACATTTTATGGTGGATGTCAAGATCAATGACTAGCCGTGAAATTAGCACTGGTATTGTGGCACCACCAAACCATGTATGTTCTGTATTTTCTCAGGTATTGGTGAAAGTGTTAAATGAAAACCAAGCATCTATGTAAAAAATTGGAGATGGATTGCCCAGATTTGTGCGATTTTTGTTTTTATAAATAGTCCTTAGTTTCCCTCCATTATATGTGGTCATTTTTCCATGTTGGAATTGTGTATTTCAGAAGATTTCTGGCTCCTGAAAGTGCTGTGAAAATATTGAAATTTTGTTTGCCTCAGAAATATTTTTTCCATAAGATTGTAGTAGGGAGATATGGCTAAAGCCCCTGTGGGTACCATTTCCATTTGAGTAAGAGGGTAGAAGAAGAATTGAAACATATTCTTGACCCCTAGTGAAATATTTATAAAGATCAGTAAACTGGGAATAATGTGCAGTTAGTTATATTGAAACACTAACACAATTGAGAAATAAAATTAAAATAAATACGTTATCAGCAAGACTGGACTCTGGGTCCTGCTAGATTCTGCCTATCAGAATTAGTCATATATACTTTTTATTCTCTATTAGCCGCAGATCTTTTTCTTTTTATTATATAGTAATAGTAACTACGTTTCCACTTAGAAAGCACGTGGAAAGTTAAAGTTATTAACTCTTGGAATCAGGTAAGAGAAGACCAGGAAATCCAGCTGTCTCATGATTAAAATTTGCCTTGTAATTTGGATTATGGGAAAGTCACTGGTTATATGAAGTAGACTACCACTTTTAACACTGCTCTTACTTATAGAGAGAAAACGGTTGGAAGCCAAGCAACGGGAAGACATCTGGGAAGGCAGAGACCAGTCCGCAGTTTGAACATCACTCAATAAAGGGGATTATTCCATGAATTCAGAAAATATTTCCATAGTCTTCAGAAAAGAGGATGCTTCCAGAGCTCTGTGTACATGCAGACGTGCATATTAGTGAAAGAAAGAGATAAAGCAATCAAGACAAGATTGACTGGGTATAGAAAGAAGATAGACTCCTGTCTGTCTTTACTCCTAAATGCAGTTCTTTGGAATCGCCTTCCTGTTTTGGGCATGGAAAGGAGCCGTCAGTTAGGAAGAAACATGGAAGATGTGACTTCCAAGAGTCATCTGGACAGGGCAAGTCATGTTAGCATGGGTCACAAGATGTTTTAAGCAAATACAAAACAGAGGATTCAAACCTGCGATGATGGGAGATTTAGGCCCTGCAAAGGCAGGGTGTTTCTGAATACCTCACAAAGCTGAGAACAGCAATACTTGTGGGGGGTGTGGGGTGAGCAATTAGTACAAGGAGACAGAACAGTGTCTGGTATACTTGGTATTCACAGAATCTACACTGCCGTTTCAGAACTCCAAAGTTGGTGAACTGTAGCAGATATGGGTATTTGGACTCCAGAGTTCGTACTGAGCTGAGTGCCTGGCGCTGCTCCAGCTGCACAGCAGCCAGGGGCATGCCAGCTTCATTGCTCGTAGGAAGCCAGTCTTGGGAGCTGCATGCCAGTTCCAGTTTAAGCGTACTTGTCATGTTGTAAGAGGGAGACATTAAAGCCCATTTTATGACATAGATCACTCTGGTATTTGTCAATTTTGTCATTCCCACAAAGAAACTGGAGAATAGCTCTCCTCTTATCTTCATCCCTATAATTCTGTGCATGGGTTCAGTGGATCTGTTGGTTTTATCAAACCTCACTGAGGAGAGAGCTGATCATCTCTCTGCCCCAGAGTATACTACAAAAGTGCCTTTCCTGGAATTGGTATGTGGCAGCTCCTCTCCCCTTCCTGCCTTCTTTATGCACCCCTCACCCCAACCCCTTGCCTTTTCCCATTTGTGTCAAATGTGACATCCTGCAGAGGGCATCTGGCACACAGCATGTTCTTGGTATGATCTTCTCAGCCTGTGCCAGAGGCACTTGGCAAGCAGCACGAGACCATCCATTACAATGAAGAGCGTCCAGGATAAAATAAACACCCCTGGGCAGTGAGAGATTCCCTAAAGGACACGGAGAAGTCAGAGCCATCAGCTGAGGCTTTAATCATCTCATATCTGCATTCTCAGTGTTTTTGGAAAGTAGTTCTGCACTGAAGAAATGGTAGTGCTAGACCTTAAGATGCTGAGGTAGCAAGAAATAGTGTCTCATTGTGCTTTCAACATGGGCTGTAGCCTCTCTTTTGTATAATTTAGTGCCCATGACAGTGATGGATTATTAGCATTGCCTAGAACGTGGTGGAGTGGGGCTCTGTTCAAACGTTCCTCAAATGACACTGGCTTTGGGTCTTAGCCCTGACCCAGCTATCCCTGCTGCTATTCTGGTCTTAGAGCCCTCCCGCAGTTCCTCAGCATTGTTTTTCTCATTCTTGGTCAGTTCTGAAAGTGTCCCTTGTTCATGTTCAATGCCTCTGTTCCAAGTTTGAGGGATTAAATAAATCCTTCTCTTGACCTTCTGTCCCAGTACTACTTAGACTAGTGTCCCTCTCTTTGGCTTGTAGCTGCAGGATTTGTGCTCTCTGTCTTCACAGAACAGACTTCTCTAAGATAGGCAGGTCTCCTTCAACAGTATGGCTGCATTTGAAAGGAAATGCAGGGAATTGTAGTGAGGCTTCATACTGAATGGTATACCTCTGAGGTATACCTTTGCTCTATTTTGATTTTTCAAGGCTGAGAGTGACCTTGGGCAGTAAAAAAGAGATGATTGCCCCTATCACTTGCCTTTGAGAGTGCTTCTCCTTTTTGACAGCATTTTAGCTTTTAAGGGCATTGTTACTGGTAACATATAGCCCCATGTTTATTACTCAGTTTTTTTGTAGTCCTCCTATATTTCTAAGCAGTTACTTTTGTTGTCATTCTGATGCTGTGTACTAGGTGGCTAGTAGCTTAGGCTTTTTTTCAGCCAATAATCAGCCACCTCTAACTTTCAGACTTATCCTTATAACCAGACCCAGAAAAGGGATTTTTTTTGCCAATACTGAAAGCTGTGGAGTGCTGCTTCGTCTGCCATTAGTAGAGAATGTGCTTTTTAGTGATATTTTTTCTAGTAGTTGGAATTATGTATACTGGCTGGAGGTAAGATGGCCTGCTGTGGCCCAGCATGGACTACATTGAGTTTGTCCAGATGGGAATCAAATCCTTGGCCATGTCTAAACCATGCCTTCATAAACTGAGCTGTTAGATATTCGAGAAGACAGCTAACACTCTGTTGTGCATACATGTTGCTTCATACATGTTGAATGTTTGAATCCCAGGATCACCTGGAATTTATAGTAGAACTGTACATTCCCCTTGAGTTCTCATATGCTCCCTATGGAGTGAAGGTCTTTGTGAAATAGAAATAAATTAGGCTTCTGCATAGTAAGCTGAGGTTCCTAGCACTTTAGTTTCTCTGAGACTCAAGTATGCCGAGGTGAAAATCTGACATTTTTGGTTCTGTCTGGAATTTGGTGGTTGGTATTCTGTTAACATTCCTCATCTAGTTACAAGTCATGCCAGCCACCAGTCTTCCTACGTCCTTCCCTTTCAACTCAGAGGTGTAACAGCACAACCCTTGTATAGCTTTTTCCAAGAATTAGAACTGGCTGCACCTATCAAACTTGTGATGTGGGCAGCAAGACTGAGACCAGAGCCGGTGGCTGACTGCCTGGCCTGCTTTTTTCTGGCCCTCTTGGAAACTGGATCCAGCAAGAAGCTGTGGGTAACCTCCCTGCCTGAATCTAGTCATCAGTTACCACACGCTCCCCCGCTAGCTGCACATTCTTTCACAGACCATTAGCTGCGTGTGCGAGTATAATGTTGTTACTGTTTGGGAGATGTTTGCTAGATCCAACAGGAAATCAGTCCTTCCCTTGTTTACCTAAACTGCCATGCCAAAATATAATGCTCTCTCTGCCTAATGAAGGAGATGAGAGAAGGTAGAGGAGAAGGAAGCAAGTACTTCTTTGTATTTCTAGAGGATACCCAGGGCAGGTCCCTCTTTACTCCCTGTGGAGGGGGTAGCTCTTGTGATGTGGGAGGGGAATACTTTTGTAAGTCTACCCCATATGCTACTGTTGGTATTGGCTTTGCAGCCTCGGTTGTAAAAGTTTACAATCCTTGGACTTTGCCTGCTACCTTGCATCCCTTAACCTTTCCAATCCATGTTTCAGCACTGAGCCTGGGGAGGAAATTGGGAAGCAGACCGAAGGCTAATATCTGATCAGAGAAATGTAGTGGGGCTGTTGTGAGTAGTAGGTGGGCCCCACACATCCTAGCCACCAGCTCAGTGGGAGTGAAAAGGAGTAGAATTACTGTGCTGGGAACTGCAAAGAATCACAGCCGGTCTTGTCTTTGTAGCAGTCCATAGTGAGCAACCTTTATTGCATTAGGGTGTCAGACCTGTAAGGATCATCTTTTAAGTGTGTCTAAATGGAGAAAAGATTAAGAATCATGTCCAAGAAGACCATGGGATTTTATACTACCTGAGCAAGAGCATATCACAGCCACATCAAGCAGGGAGGCGGCCTTTCCTAGGTTTAGTCCTTAACTAAATTAAATGTTCCCCCTTCTGACTTATTCCTAGTCTCCTATCCTCCACTCTACCAGACCTGTCTTTTTCCTACAGAGGTGAGTGGCTTGTTTGACCAATGTTCTTTCCATTGCAAAAATTTATTCAGTGTAAAGTTCACTCCAGAAACTTGGTTGAGACCTGAAATTTAGGCCAGTCCTGAGATGCACAGTGATCTTGAGGGAGATTGGATTACCTGCCAGGCATATGGCATGTATTTTGCCTTGGCAGAGGCCCTGGCAGGGCCTGGAGTCCATATTACCCCAGCAGTCTTTCTGCTTGGCCTTCTCTTGCTGTTCTGCAGGAAGGCCCTATCTGGCCACTTCTGCGAATATTGCCCCTTCTCAAGCACTCAGTAACTGGTGGTGTTGGCCCATCAGGACGTAAGGGGATGCCTGAGGCCTAAGCTTCCAGGGATATTAGAAATACCCACATTTGCGGTAGGATAAAGGTAAGAGCACTAAAGAACAGACTTTTAGAGAGTATGACAGGCGAGTTCTAAATGAGGACAGATAAAGCAAGGGACTGAATTTACCAACTTCTCTGCCAGTTGTGACTTTGACACAAGTTGTGTTGCTTTGAGCTCCTTGCAGAGAGCTAACCCCACCGCCTGTATATTTTGGTCCTTTGTCTTCTACTCCTTCAAGACATTTGCAAAGCACCGTTTAGATGGGGGACTGGGCCATAGTCCATCCCTAAGGAACTGATTGCTCCTGAACCAGGAACTCTGGGGCAAGATCCAGGGAAGACTGAGTCTCCTTATGGAAGAGAAACTCAGTTTAACAAAGCCTGGAGGCCATAGTCCATAGACCAAAGGCCTTTAGGGGACAGGCCCAGAGCCATCCTGAGGGAGCAGTACCATCCTGGTTTGGTGACTTGCCATCAAAAGGCTTCCTGAGCAGGTTCTTGGTGCCCTTTGGCACTGGCCCCTTTCCCTCTGAGTTAGGGCTCTGTGAAGGGCATGGCTCCAATAAGCTGAGGTATCTGGTGTGTGGGCAGCAGCTGGGGGTGTGCAGTGATGGCTTCAGATGAGGTTGTTCCTGAGACGCTGCTCCTGCTCCAGGGAGAGCTCTGCATTGGCTCGGTATGAATCCCCTGTGGGTCAAAGGAAAACAGGTAAGTACACCCTACCATGGTCTCATCCCTTCCCTGACAACTTCACAAACACACAGATACATTCTGCCCAGCTCATCTTTTACCTCAGGTCAGTCAAGGACACAGATCCCAATCCATTCTATAGAGATAGACCCAACAGGTGTGTAGTTTCAGGGGCATCGGGAAGAATAGGCTATTGAGTGGAAAGGGTTGTGCTGGTTACTCTCCTTTGGCCTCTAGAGATTGTCTCACTCTGGCTCCCTCATCCTCTGGTTTCTGGTTGATTTAGGTCAGTGGAACAATAGCAAGAGATGAGAGGGTGGAAGGAGAGAGAGATTGGGGTATTTCTTCCTCTGGTCTGGCAGTGATTGTCTCCTAGCGCACCCTTTGCCCTTTAAGCCTAAAGGTGAAAAGTTTTCCATTCTTGCTTATCCCTGGATGTCTCAACACCCCTTGTTTCCTTAGTCTTACACCTCTATAAGTAGTCCTTTCATTAAGTAACCTCAGACTCTCATCCAAGTGTGCCGTCTGTTTTCTGTAAGGACCCTGACAGGGGTCAGCACTGCATTATTTTTCTTTACCTCCTCACTCCTGCATTCCTTGCAGCCTGCTGCCAGCATTGTGGAGGATCTGCTCTCTCTCTATGTGCAGCCTCAGATCCCAATTCCCGATTCCTCTTGCATTTCTGTCTCATTGAATGGCAGCAAAATCTACTCATCTGACAAACTCAAAACGTTAAGACTGTTTCTTCCTCCTCTTCCCATTCTGTCTTCCATCTGTTGCCAGAGTTATCTTTGAAAACATAAATCTGATCTTTTTGTCCCCCTTGACTGAAATTTGTCAATGGTTCCCAGAAGTCCACAGGATAAAGTCTGTTCTCTTAGGAAGAACCATCATAACCCTCCCTGCAAAAAAACATGAGTGGGTTTGAAGT